AGTTTTAATCAGAACAGTTCAAATATTGTAAGCATACAGAGTTAGCAATGAAGTAACACAAAAGGAGTAATATCTTGATACTTTGTAAACTGGAAAATAAATTACCTTATGATAGAATTTAGCCTCGAATTTACCAGCACGGCGGTCTGTCATAGTCACATTCATTGCATCCTGACCACCTCCTAGAACCACCTAAAAACAGAAACGACAATCTTAGGAAAATGGAACACAGATGATGATACTACTGGGCTCAGCATCATATGTAGACCATAACCACAATGCATTTACCTATGGCTCAAAAAAATCAAACATGATAAATATTGTTCTAGTGTAAATACAAAAAAAGCACAACAGCTAACACAATGCATAAGCCATAGGTTAAAGGATTAAACGTGATAAAATACTTTTCTCCTAGTGTACACAGCAAAAGATGCAATTTCTGACAGCAAAGTTAAATATATACAAAATCATGACCTATGATTACATAAGAATGCACTAAATCAGACAAAGAGCCACTTTGCAATACCAGCTATATAACCATCCACTATACGAACTATGAAACCCAACTGTCAACCAAATTAGATCAGCAGTTCACACAACCTGGCCTTTATAAAAGACATGTATAAATAAGTTTGTGAAGAGGAACATACTGTATCATGAGTGGGAGAGATGTCAACAGCATTAACAGGTCTCTCTGTGACATACGTCTTGATCAGGGTTAGTGTTCTTGTATCCCATAGCTATGCATGGAAAATTGAATGTCAGGGAAACCATAATTATCTTTATGACAGTCAACCTGAACAAATTCTAACCTTCGCAGATTTATCCAAGGAGCCAGTAATGAAATGTGACCAATCTAAGGACTTTGACAACGATGAAATGGTCTTCTGATGTCCAGATTCTTTATCAGACTCTCTCAGCAGTTGTCCAGTCTACATACAATTCAAAGAGCATCCCATGAGTGATGTGGAAAAAGTTTCCATTGTTATGGAGAAACAAATAACATTTTTAACAGTGCAGAAAAAGGCAGAGAAAGAGCAGCATGGATATATAAAAGCACAGCAGGTTTCATTTTGAATCCCACACCCCCTTTCGGTTTCCTTATTCCCCCCTTGTGGGTAAATGCTGCATTAAATAAATTATCATGCCTTGTTGGATAGACTAGAGTAACACTGGAAGCAGTAATCAGAAAGGATGCGTCCAGTTCTTGTTGTCTTAGTTCACTAAGCTGATAAAAGTAAAGTGAAATTTGGAATTATAAACTTCTAAGAATACAACTAGACATAATAACAATCTAAACTGCTATCATGACTGATCAGGAGGAAAAAAACATTGCCTATTATCACCACCATATGCCCATAGCCCCATACCAACAAGCAATTGATGGGGGGCATTCTTAGGGCTAAACACCCAAATTATAGTGGCCCTCAGTACTATTTGCAGGCACATAAAAGCATGTCATCCTAACCTCTGAGTCCCAGATGCGAATGGTGGCATCCTCCCCAGCAGTGATGATGGTCCTGTTCAGCGGCCCCCAAACGGCCCTGTTGATCCTTCCCTTGATGCCGGTGATGACGAGTGCAGACTCCTCCGTCTCTGCATACACACACAGGGGATCTCAAGGTCAAGGGTGCTGGCTTGCCATTCAAACAAAAACAACAGAGGAGGCATAAACGAAGCGTTGTTGAGAAGGCAAAAGCACTAACGGTCGTCGATGTCCTCGGCGATGTGCTTGACCTGGACGGTGGGGACGTGGTCCATGAAGTTGTCGGTGGTGACGACGGCGAGCGCGTCCCCGATGGCGAACTCGACGGACCTGGCGGGCGCGTCGAAGCGGAAGCTGAAGAGCTCCTTCCCCGTGCTGACCTCCCAGAGCTTGGCGGTCTGGTCGGCGGATCCGGTGATGAGGCGCGCCGAGTCGCGGGACACGTCGCAGGTCCAGACGGCGCCGTTGTGGCCCCGGTAGGTGCCAAGGCGGTCGCCGTTGTCGGCGTACCAGACCGTAGGGGTGTGGTCCTTGGCGCAGGAGAAGAGCAGGTCCCCGTCGCGGTTGCAGCGCAGGAACGTGAGCGGGCGCTCGTGGCCCTTCATCAGGATCGGCCTCATCGCGCCGCGCTGCTGCTGGTGGTGCTCGCCGCCGCGCCGCAAGAGGAGGAGTAGGACGCAAGGGGAGGAGGAGGACTGGAAGAGACGGCGGTGGCTTGATTTGGGTTTGGATGCGTCGGCGGCGGAGAGGAAGATGGAAACCCTAGCGCGTCCTGTTATAGGACTCCTCCGCCTTGCCCTTAACAGTGAAAGAAAGAACACGGGCGTCCATGTTCCCTCCTGGCCCAGCAATCCATCCGGGCCGGGCCGGGCCGCTCGCGGTTTGATCCATCCTCTTCCGGGCCTTTTGCCATCGGTGAAGCATCCACGTACTGTTGGTTATTGTTAGGCTACAGAAATAAAATTAGAGATGAATACGTGAGTATCTAATGGGCTATGTAAATAGATGATGCTGCTGTAGTGTCAGCGGTAAAAAGAACGACCTTTCTCGGAAGATATTTGTATTTGTATAAACAGAGTTCTCCTGCTGCCGCACAATGTTTAAATTAAAATACAAACTTATAACTCTGAGAAACTTGCAAGTCATATCCTCGTAGGGTATGTTTAGTATATCTTATAAGCTGTTTATATGATCAAAATAAGTTAAAATCAACTGCCAAAATGTGTGCTTTCTATTCTGGATGCGCTTATTCTTCATGTAAGTTGGTCCGCGACGCGTGGTTAGAGTGTGCGTACTCTTGCGACTTGATCCTTTGGTTTTTGAGCTAGTGGATCTCGCAACAAGAACTCCCGCGATTAGTGGGATTGAATTGTATCGGTCAAGAGGATGACACAGGTTTAAGTTGGCTAACCGATGAGGTGTCCTCGTAGAACCCTTACTATTTGTATTACCTTTGCCTTACCAGAGTCATTGAACCACTGAATATAGTATGGACGTGGATGCATCCGTGTGGTCAAACCAAACTTCTTGACCAAATCAAAACTCACCAAATTATTGTTAGTTTCCCATGTCAATGATGAAACCTACATATCGATTTTTAATGATGAATGATGAAGAAAATTTGAAACAAATTATGTCACTCCAAGAATCAAACAATTTGACTCTCCCGCGATGTCATCCCTCTGAGCTTAGTGTGGAGCGATTAGGACTTTGTGTATGAGGACAAGAAGACTCCTTCCTTGGTTAGAAGCTTTGTAGATGATGACACCAAGGTGACCAAAAGAGCCCAGACCGTGGTGGTAAGTAGGTATGGAAACGGTCGAGATATATCTCGTACCATCCCGCATCGTTTCAACACTTGATCCTCGTTTCAACACTTGATCTGCTTGAATTCGTATTTTTGGATGATTCTGAAATTGGTACAAAATATGTTATGCCAAATTCGAAAATGAAAACAGTTTAGGTCTTATCCTGTTTTTTACTTTTCTGGTTTTTATTCGGGATATCGTGTTTTTGAAATACAGTATGTACCCTTTTTGGCCCACTAGAAGTCCAATCTTAGAAAATGTATCTTTTTCATATGATCTCCGATGAAGATGAATTTTATATGAAATTGTAGCTCTAGACAATATCTACAACTTTCTAGTTTTGAGTTTTTTTTTTCATTTGAGGTCGCTAAGATGCTAAAAAAATTAAACAAAGTTTTACTAGTATATTAATCGTATACAAGCGCTTGTTGTCTTAGAAAAAACAAATCTTTCTTATATGGTGTCAATAGAGATACTTTTTTATATTAGTTTGTTTTACGGGTCAGCATTCCACAACCATATTCGATATAATTCCGCTCGAATTAGTTTGTTTTAAAAATTCTCGATATTCTATAAGCTCGTGTTCGTTTTCGTGTCCAGCTTTACCGCTTTCACTTTTGTTTTTATATTTAAAAGTAGAAGTAGAAACCGGCTGATTCTCTGTTTTGGTCCTTAGTTGTAAGCCTTAGTGGCCTGCCATACTTGTTTTGGTTGTAGCAAGCCCTTTGTGAAAAGTTTAACATGCAATTGACCTTTCTGCAGTGTCGAAGCTGCAACTGCAACCCGGTTGCGACTTTTCAGAGCTACATATATGTACACATGTGTAACAGTCAATGGTGCATGACCGGTGAGATGGACGGGTGGACTTGCAGCCACACGCAAGTAAACAAGCTAGCGGTCTGATGGCTTCAGTGCGTTTTGTTTACTTCTGTTGCTTTTCCGACACATCAAGTCACAACTCACAATTATTGTGCAATGTAAATGTAGTAGTAGATGCAGACTTGCAGCTAGCTAGATGCCGCTTAATTTGTTAGCACATCTAAATCTGGTGAAAAAACTAGGCCAGATATTTTGTTTTCTTCCTCTAATAAAACCCGCGATAAAGTTTTTGCTGTCCTTTCAAAAACTATATATATATATATATATATATATATATATATATATATATATATATATATATATATATATTTTGGCTCAAGCGTGTAAGTTGTCCGCTCATGTACTTCACTTTTTTTTTCCGATTATATGGTACAATTCAGACACTTAAAAAACGCACACACACATTTACCCCTATAAATTCACCCACGTGAACCCAACCTTACCATATGAGCATCTTTGACATAGTCACCCTTATGAACTCATGCGTGCAAACCCAACCCTATCCCTATTAGCATCTTTGAAGACTAGGTTGGCAAATTATTAGAGATTGACGAAGTCACCACAGACGTCTCTGTCGACGGAAACGTCATCTATCATGGAATATTCACTCCCATGGGGAGACAAACCCACGACCTAAAGTGCCACCACAGGGGCCTCGTGTCGACGGGAACGTCGCCTATCTTGAAATATTCGTTGCCACAAGGAGTTAAAACCAAACCTAAGATACTACTGAGGCTTTTATAACCACCGGACGGACTATGTACCCATTCGTATACTCACTTCACTTCAAAAGTTCAAATTAACACGTTATTAATCCTAAGTTTCGAATGGAGCTACCTCCTTGGGCCTCCTTCTTCCTCGGCATCGTGCTGGCCATCGCGCTCTTCCTCGTATCCACTCTCCACCGCTGCTGCCGCCAGAACCCCTCTCGCAAGTACAACCTCCCACCAGGCCCTCGACCATGGCCGGTGATCGGCAACATGAACCTGATCGGCCCACTCCCGCACCGGTCTGTCCACGAGCTCTCCAAGCGCTACGGGCCGCTCATGTCCCTCCGCTTCGGCTCCCTCCCCGTCGTCGTCGGCTCGTCCGTCGACATGGCCAGGTTCTTCCTCAAGACGCACGACCTGGCGTTCATCGACCGCCCCAGGACCGCGTCCGGCAGGTACACCGGCTACAACTACTCCGACACATGCTGTGGTCGCCCTACGGCGCGTACTGGCGGCAGGCGCGCAAGTTCTGCAAGGCCGAGGTGTTCAGCGCGGCGCGGCTGAGGTCGCAAGAGCACGTCCGGGCGGCGGAGGTGCGCGCCATGCTGCGCGATCTGTATGCCGCTGGGCCGGCGGCGCTGGTGCGGCTCATGGACCACCTGTTCCAGCTGACCATCAACGTGATCTCGCTCATGGTGCTGGGCAAGAAGCACGCCGTCGGCGTCGACGGCGACGGTAGGTCGGCGGCGGCCGGTGGCTTGCCGGCGACGCCCGAGGCGTTCTAGTGGATGATAGAAGAGTTCTTCTTGCTGAGCGGCAGGCTCGACGTCGGGGACATGATCCGTGCCTCAGCTGGCTGGATCCGCATGGGCACGTCAGGAGGTTGAAGAGGCTTAGGGAGATGTTCGACCATTTCCTGGACAATGTTGTGGACGAGCACAGCGAGCGGCGGTGGCGAGAGGGCGAGGAGTTCGTCGCCGCGGACGCGGTTGACCTGCTGCTGGAGCTCGCCGACGACCCCAACCTCGAGGTCCCGATCCAGCGAGATGGCGTCAAGGCATTCACGCTGGTACGTAAGACGTACACGTACTCCATTGTTAGTTAGTTGGATGCTTGACGACATCATGCATGTGCATGCTTGCAGAACCTCCTCGTTGGATTGCCGGACACGACGTCGGTGACCGTCGAGTGGGCTATGTCGGAGCTCCTGAGGAACCCCGACGCGCTCGCGTCGGCCACCGAGGAGCTGGACCGCGTCGTCGGCCGTGAGCGCCTCGTTGTCACGGAGGGGGACATCCCGAGCCTCCCGTACATGGAGGCCGTCGTGAAGGAGACGATGCGGCTGCACCCGGTGTCGCCCATGCTGGCGCCCCGGCTGTCGCGCGAGGACGTTTCCGTGGGCGGGCACGACGTTCCGGCGGGCACGCTGGTGTTCGTGAACGTCTGGGCCATCGCCCGCGACCCCGCCGTGTGGGGTCGGACCGCCGGTGAGTTCCTGCCGGAGCAGTTCGTCGCGAGCGGCGTGGACGTGATGGGGCACGACCTGGAGCTGCTGCCCTTCGGGTCCGGCCGTCGGATGTGCCCCGGCGTCTCGCTCGGGCTGAGGATGGTGCAGGTGGTGCTGGCCAACCTGCTGCACGGCTACGCGTGGAAGCTCCCAGATGGCGTCTCCAGGGAGGAGCTGAGCATGGAGGAGACGTTCGGGCTGTCCATGCCGCGCATGGTCCGGCTCGACGCTGTCGCGGAGCCCAGGCTGCCGGGTGCCGGCGCACCTGTACGCTGGGCCATGATGCATGCACGTTTTGTTTGGCTGCTTCCTTTTGTTTATCTCTGCGTATTTCTGGAGTACTGTACAGTGTACAGGCATGTGATGCGTTTGCTGTCTCGTCGTTTGTCTTTGTCCTTCGATGCGTGCACTTTATTCTGTAATTCGCACACTTATCTTCGGGGTTTTTAATTTTTGGTCAAAATTTCGCCGAATTTTTTTCAGAGACTAGCAAATGAAGTATGATTTTTCTAAAAAATAGATCTAAACAAATATTAGTATGATTTATGACTACACATCTTTTGAATAGAAGAATATATAATAAAACAATACTATAGAAAATTTGAATCTAGAGTTATATAGCACATGTACTAGTGTATTGCAAAATTTCCGATTTTTTTTTCGGTCACCACCAAAATTATCGAAATTCTCGAAATTTCGCCGAAATTTGAACCTTTGCAAATAAAAAATGAAAGTAAAGGATATATTTTAACCTGAAACGGATATCTTTGTATCTTTTTTCTTTTTGTTATTTCTTTATCTTGAGGGTTTTAATTTTGGTATTAAAATAAAGAGATACTATAACACACTCGAGTGTTCCTCTCCCAATCACTCACTTGATTCCTCTCATTCTTCTCAATCTCCGGCTTCTTCCTCTCTTTTTCCCAACTCTTGCGGGCTTAGAAGGGGGGGGGGCAGGCCAGCCAGGCGGTGGAAATGGCGGTAGGACGGCAGTTAGGGTTCTGACGGCGCAGGAGGTGGCCAGGCCAGGTCGGGGCGTGGGCGCCCATGGCCATGATGGCGGCGGGGGAGAGGAGGGGAGAAGGAGGCCGCTGTGAGCGTGTGGTATGGTCTCATCGGAGTTCCGCAGCAGCGGCCGCCACGGCAGAGCTCCGACGAGAACCTACCTCGGTACGGCGGGGTGAGGCGGCGCGAAGAAGAAGATACGAAGAAAAAAATTAGGTGTTGGGAGAGCCCAAAACAACCGAGTGTTATACAGATTGATCCTAAAAAAAATCCGGCCACCCCAAAATTACCGAAATTCATGAAATCCGACCGGAATTTTTTAGAGTCTTGCAAAAGAAGTATGTTTTTAAAAAAAAATAGATCTAAACAAATATTAGCATGATTTATGACTACATATATTGAGTAGAATAATATGCAATATAGTATATAAATAATAGAAAATATGAGTACGTGTATTATTGTATTACAAAATTTCAGATTTTTTCTTTCGGCCACCACCAAAATTACTGAAATTCACGAAATTTCAGCCAAATTACGCTGAAATTCTGAACCTTGCTTATCTTCACCGTATCACTGATTGGTGCAAATAATTACCGTACCATTACTTCTGAGAGGACGACGACAGGACGTCATCGGACTCCAAGGTGTCTCTGGAGTGGCAAGGGGCCAGAATTTGGGGGCACATGCAAAGGTATTTTAGCACTGCATATTAAACCTTGGTGATATAAAAAAAGTTTATTAGTCACGCCAATGCATGCCACTTGAGTAAGGAACTTAGGTCTTCGGTTGTTTCCAAAGATGCTCTGCTCGGATCTCTCTCTTATAAAAACGATCTCCACTACCTTTTAATCTTCACATACAAGCTATCCACGTGTCATACTACACTAAATGCTACATTATCCACCTAATAAGTGCTACGACATGTTTCACTAAATCAGGGCCGGCGCTATATATAGATTTCACGGCCCTTGAACAATACGAAAGCAAAGGCCCTTTAGGCTATTTTTTTCCACTTTCTAAAAGTCATGAGAAATCAATAAATCATATATTAGTACTAGTATGAGATAAATGGGAGCATGCATATAGTTCATAAAACACAATGTTTATACAATAGAAAAAACTAAGAAAAATAAAATAACTATTATGATTACCTCAAATAAGAAAATAATGCTTTGGGGCTTGCTAAAAAATGTCCAAGCATTTCTTGATGCAAAATCATGGAGAACAATATCGAAATCAATGTTGTCCAAGACATCCTTCTCAATACAACGCATAGCCAAGCCATTCAATCTGTCTTATAACATAGTTGACCTCAATAATTTTTTAATAGTTTCAATTTGGAGAAACTTCTTTTAGCTGACAGAAACTGTTATGAGAATCCGATAGGCAATAGACACATTCAGATAGCAATCTACAGCTATCACAAACTGTAGAATCTTGGTTGCTGACATTAAATCATCTGGCAAAGTTATTTGCAGCACGTGTAATGCAGAGATAAAATCATTTAACTCAACATCAAACTTGTTCTCATGAGAAAAAGTTTTGACAAAATTAGTGCAACAATTCCCTAGCTCTGTATCATGCAAGGACTTCAAATTCTCCGAGTTGAATAAGGAGCCAAACACTTTTTCAAATGCTTTTAGCTGTTCAAATAGGCTAGTCAACGAAGCAATTGCAACATCAACAATAACTAGAAAGTAACTAACTCTGAAGGACTCTATCATTAAAAGTTGTATTTCTTCACTATCATCATTTTGTTCATCAGAATGCTTCTTCCTTTTACCTTGACATTTGGTTAGGAATTTTGGCTCTGTATCCAAATCAAATGCAATTGATTTTGGGGCTTCAATACTAGAATTAAAGCCTTCATCTCTATACTTTTGGAAAAAAATGAGATGACCCCTTCAATTTGTTTGAGAGTAGCATCCATGCATGTAAACAATATTAGACTGCAACTTTTTGCTCAACTTATTTATAGTAAATAAAACATAATGCCAGATAACCAAACCAACTAAGAATTCAAAATTCTCAAGTGCAGTTACCGATGATCGAGCATCACTCACTGCCCAACTGATTCCCTGTGTCTTGTGTGCTTACGCGAATATGCTGCTAGGTATTGCTGGAGCTAATTCTTCCTTGGGTTAATTTCTAGCAAGCGCTTTTGGACACCTTGATGTTTTCCCTTCATATTAGAATCATTGTCATAACTTTGACCTCTCACATCATCAATGATCCAACAGTACATTAAAAAACCCAATCGTGATGTGTCATCAACCTTTATGAACTCTAGAAAAAAATCGTCCACTCTCGGAATTCTACTTGACATATATTGACACAACGCACAATTTTGTTTTTCATGTCTTACATCAGGGGTACAATCCAAGATAACAGAAAAGTACTTGGCATCCTTAATGATCTTTAAGATATACCTTTTCGCAGCATCAACAAGAACAAAAATTAACTTGTTCTGAATATTGTGACCAAGGTAATGATGATGGATTTTGTTATTTTGAATGCGTCTAATGTGTTCTTGAATCACAGGATCAAATTATGCAATCATTTCAACTATTCCTAGAAATTACCATTATTATCTTGATAAAGTTTCTCACCATTTGATCCTCTCGAAAGGCCAAACTATGTTTAGCAAGAAACTTCACAGTAGCAACTATTCTTACCAAAACCTATCTCCAACACTCTCTTTCTTTTGCAATTTCCCATTGCTTATCATCATCAATTGTTTGATTTTTGCTTAATCTCAGCCGAAGTTCATTCCATGTATTCATGTTTGTTAAATGCTGAACACTACTCTCATGTTCCTTGAGTCTCCCACTAAGACGCTTCTAGTCGTCCCTCAATCCATCTGATGCTAGCAAAGACTTGCTTTGATTTGATTTGAACAACTTGCAGCAAAAACAATATACTTTGTTCACATGTTTAGAGTAAGCCAGCCACTTTCTATCAACAATCTCAGCATTACTTAACTTTCTGGAGTAGTTAGGGTATGAAAAGTGTCTACCAAGTGCATCCTTTCCCTTTGGAAACTCCATATCCAATTATCTCGTAGGTCCTTTTTCAATTAAAATATCCCTTTGGTATTGTCCAGATTATCCCATGTTCTTGGATCATACAGAGACAAAAGAGAATCTTCCTGTTCATCAACATTTGGATTTTCGGTACTAGATGAAGGCTGGAAATTTTGTGGAACATTGAGTTAATATCGTATCGCAATATATGGTTTTTGTTTTGGTCTACCACTTGAAGCTGTTTTGTTTTGGGCAACACGACGAGCTAATGAGGCAGGAGAGTAAGTTTCGTCCAAATTGGCCATGTGGCTCTAAAACGACTTGTTTCAGGATCCTATTGCTCCCACCGTCCAACATTCCAACGGCATGTTTTTGGGAGTGGAGGGAGTATTCTAATTCTAATATATCAAAGCAGTTTCCTTTGGCCATCAACCAGACGGTCCACGTCGCCCCGATTTGTTTCGTCCGTCCGATCTCCCATCGTGCGGTCCAGATTAATTGTAGCCGCTTCCGTTCGATGCTGCTTCTTGTAGCTCCTCGTCATCCTCTATAGGTTTTGCTACTTTTTTGCATTCTGCTCCAGCTTCTCATCCGAATCCGCAGAAACATATATATTACCTGCTTCTCCTTCCTGAAGCTTCTTCCTCCCGACGCTTCTCCTCAGCCGCACCGTCCCCAACCTGTGGAGCGACGCATCCGCCCCCGCCCTTGGCCAGGCTGCCCCCCGGCGAGGTTGCCATCGACGGATGCCGTGTCTGCCTCTCCGCCCCCAGATCGGCACGTTGGCCTAGGCGGCCAGCCACCGCCGCGACGGTGACACCAACCTAGGGTTTCGCCCGTGGCTCAGCTCGTCGGCCATACCTCCTGGTACCTCACCCTCTCCTCCTCCTCCTAATCTGTCTCATCGCTCCTCCCCAAGTCCTCTCTCCATCCATCGCCCCTTTGCATAGGTGATTGGCCGGCGTTGCAGCTTGCCGCTTTCCCGGCGCTGGGTGCCCTCTCGCCACGCAGCAGTCCCCAAGACAGCGCCACTCGGCGCGTGGTGGCTCGGACGGCAGCCTTTGGCACGGCGCCCTCAGCAAGGCGGCCTGGCCAGTTCCCAACCGCCATTGTCCCAGCGCAGTGACTTCGTCTTGGCGGGCTGCTCCCCGGCGTGTTCCTCCTGCAGTCCGCCTTGGCTGAGTGGACGACTATCACCTCCCACAAGACCAGCAACTGCCACCAATGCATGCTGTCGGTACCGTCTCCCTTGTCCTCTACTGTTATCTTCGCATTGTCGCCGCTGCAACTCGATTGACAGTTCATTTGGTTTAGGTTCCCTGTAGATCAAAGCCTG